ATCCCTTGCCTTCAGGGTCTTAGCAGGGTCTTCTTTGTCAAGCATGCCCTCCTGTGGCTTGGGGAGGAGGCCGCATTTTGTTATGATTGAGAGGTCAGATTTGCGCTCTTTCAGCATCTCTTAGAAGATCTCAACTAAATTGATCTGAGGAGGGACTGTGCTTGTAAGTTCTGTCTCCTTTGGGAGAGAAGCCACACATCTTTGCTTACACCAACCAGACCAATTGTGCCAAAACAAACTCCAAGGGGTGCTGTGGATGTCGCCTAGGTAAGGAGAAGGTATCTGAAAGCTGTGGGGTTGAGCGGAGTTGAAAATGCAATCCCAGAGCGGCCATTCTGGGACATTCTGAGCAGGAAAAGGCTGAGCGGGAGAAAATGTCCTCCTTGTACCAGCTGCTCATTTTTGGCTCTCGGTCTCTTGTAGGTACGACTGGGGTGGACCGCAGGAGCTGGGTCACTCTGGATTATCCTGGATTACCCTGGAAACTGGACAGGCAGGAAAGTAGTCAGTTGTAATTTGTTGTTGGTAGATTTACATATGCAGATGAGATGCGCCTATAGTCATGATTCATCTGCTGTGTTGGTACAGCTGGTAAACGTTTGCTTTCTAGCGACAGTCCTGAAAAAGTTGTTTAAATCCTGATAACAAGTAAAACATTCATTTCTCAAATGAGATAATTAAACTATTCCTTAAACATGCGCACGTGCGTACACACACCACACACACACACACACACACACACACACACACACACACACACACACACACACACACACACACAGCAAAACAAAACAGATGCCATCATTTCCAAACTCTCCAGAAACTGAGCTCTATTTCCCTGGGAGCCCTTCTCCACCGGGCTTCAGGGCTGGACGATCAGGGACTGGAGCCTCATCCTCTGGAGAAAAAGCCACTCCAAGCCCCTTGGACCCTCGCTGGTACTTTATTCTTGGCAGGTGATAGGAATGAAAGCCTAGTGACTGGATTTGCATTATCAGCTGGGCACTGTTTTATAGGCTTTAGGTCTCTTCACACTCAGTGCTCACAATCATTCTAGGGGCTAGGCACTGTGATTTCACAGTGAGGAAATGGAGTCGAGTCACGCCCCCAAGGTCACACAGGCTAGAAGAAGCTAGAATTGTAATCCAGGCAGTTAGATTCCAGAGTATGTGTCCCTAACCTTGACATGAGGCTGCCTCCCATAATTATTTTCATGTAGACCGGATGTCTAACATTTCTTTTTAGGCGCAGACTCCTTTATTCGAGGGACCTCTTGGCCAAAGTATAAAAAACATCAGAGGCAGAGGTGCAGGTGTTCTGACCGGAGTAGGTGTGGGAGGGACAGGGTCTGTAGCCTCGACTTCTTATGACTCTGAGTCCCTGAGGCCCCTGGGGACACATTTTTCCTTGGAACTGCCCCCTCCTGGGACTCAGCCCTATTACAAGATGCAGTCAATTCTCATTACTTACAGATTTCACATTTGCAAATGCAACTACAGAATTGTTTATTTGGAGTTACACATACATTGGTTTTGCATGTTTGTGCTTTTCGTGGGTGATTTTGCAGTGTGAAATGGTCCACAAGCATCACGCTGAATGCTGTCTGGTGTGTCCAGGTGCAGGAAGGCTGTGGCAGTCTTAGAGACAAAGCATACGGGTTACGTGTCACTGGGACTTGAGTTCTAGTGCTGTAGGCAGGAGTTTAATGTTAATGAGTTAGTAAGTATTCAATATATATGAACTATATCAAATAAGGTGTCTTAGGACAGAAACGCATATCAAACAAGCCAATGTACTGATTGGCTGAAGAAAATGTTACCTGTGTACATCCTCAAGGAGTCCCCAGTGTTGCAAATTGTCACAGATTCGGTCTTGGCGGCAACTTTGTAGAACATGCCACACATGATGAGAATTGACTGAAGTTATTTTTTGAGAGCCTCTTATGAGCCAAATGTGCTAGAACCTTATTTAAATGAACTCTAAGTTTAGTATCATTATTTAAATGAAGCTGTAAGTTTAGCATCATTATCCCCAATGTATTAGATGATAAAATTGACAAGTAATTTGTCAATGTCACTAAGCCAGAGGGAGGGGAAGCTGAGACCCAACAGCTCATGACTCCATTGTTCTATTTCCTTTTTTTTTTTTTTTTTTTTTTTTTGAGTTGAAGTCTCATTCCATCGCCCAGGCTGGAGTGCAGTGGCATGCACAGGTCACCCCAGCCTTGACCTGCTGGGCTCCTGCCATCCTTCCACCTCAGTCTTCCAAGTAGCTGGAACTACAGGTGCGCGCTACTGTGCCTGAGTAATTTTTTATTTTTTTGTAGAGATGAGGTCTCACCATGTTGCTCAGGCTGGTCTCGAACCCATGAGCTTAGGCAATCCGCTCACCTTGGCCTTCCAAAGTACTAGGATTACAGGTATGGGCCACCATGCCTGGTCGTTCTCTTTCCTTTTGATGAGCTGCTTTGTCATCTTGGCTGTGTTCATGCCCTGGACTCCAAGCTGGTTTCCTTTACAGCAGGTTGAGCACAATACTTACTACTACTACTACTACTACTACTACTACAACACACACACACACACACACACACACACACACACACACACACACACACACGGAAACCTCCCCATTGGTGCTGGGACACTCTTACAGAGAGAGCCAGGTATGGATACTCCAGCTACTTCCTCCTCCTCCTCCTCCTCCTCCCTTTCCCCCTCCTCCCTTTCCCCCATCTGGTGTCTGGTAGCCACTGGGGTTAGGATTTTCAGGCAAAGCAAAAATGTCTCCTAGCAGGAAAGACAAAAGGAAGAAGAGAGAAAAGACAAGGAGGGGAGACAGGGTAGCCTTACAGGAGGATGGGCAAAAATAGGGAGGAAGACGGGCGTGTGGGCTGTTCACTCTTGAGCAAAAATCAAAGGGTGGGGACCCAGAGGAGAAGACCCAGAGATGTCCCCGTCATTGCCACTTGGGGGATCCTTTATATTTTTAAATCATTTTCGTGTCTTTGGTCTCAGTTTGCAAATCACAACTACTTCGAGTAGGTGATAGGCACGTTCTTTTTTCTACTTTACTGATGAGAAAACCAAGGCATGAAAAACTCTAGTGATTTGTCAAAGTCATGTAGTTCTTTTCATTCCACATTTGTGATAGGCTATTGCTATCACACAGTAAAATTCAACAATGCCTTTCCTGGTATTTTAATGTTTTGTGCCAATGTCATGAGCAGCCAATTAGGAACAAAGAGATTGTCCCTTATTTTATACGTGCACTGTATCACCATTTCAATATTTTTACTTAGTTACAATTTCTCTAATTCCATTGCCCATGTTGGAGCATATGACTAAAATATAGCAAAATGACAGTTCCTTTCAAGGGGGTCAAAATGTTTTTGGTGGATGGGAGCGTGTCCTGGGAGTAAGATGAAAGTAGCTTTGTTGCACGCCTCTTCTGGGAATCTTTCTAGGGATATTACTAAAGTCAAGAATAGATCAGAAACGAAGACAAGATAGGGATATAAAGAATACCTTTCATGGAAAATGGAAATCATTCCTTTTAAAGTTCACCATTTCCACCCCGATGATAGATCCCTGGGCTTATAGGATGGGTTCTTCCCAAGTATAAAGGTGGCCGCCACCATAGGATTTTGAGACAATTGTGATTGATGTCAGCAGGTCCAGACGGTGATATTTTATTACCAATTTAACAGACATTTATTAAGTAGATTTCATGGAAGCAGCCCTGAACTAGATGAGGTTGGGAGGTACAAAAGCCAGATGCCATCTGTGAAGGTTTTATAGGCCAGTCAGGGGTTGAAATCCACGGATGTGAGTTTTACACAACGACAAGCTAGGTGCTCTCTTGTCATGAAAGCCTCTCACGGGGGCCACCTGGAACGGCTTGGTTCCTTATCACAAGATAAGGATATATGGAAAGATCTAGTGACTTCTTCACGGAGTAGGGGGCTTCCCCAGGCTTTTTGTCTCTGAGTGAAGAACTGTCACCAACTTCCACAGGAAGCAGCTGAAGAATCACCAAGTCACAGTCTAAAGTTGGGACAGGGCAGAAGTGCAGATGTCTGCTGACCTCAATGGTATAGGAATTCAGAATAGGCGTGAGATTTTTGTGGGTTCGTGTGGCAGTGGGATGGCGAGTTATGTGTCATAATGAAGACAAAACATGACCCCTTTAGGGCTTATTGCTCAAGTGAAGTGGTTGTAGAAATGTTTTCAAGGACGAGATGACTTTTATTTTATTTTTTAACTTGTAAAATTATTTATTTATTTTTGAGGTGGAGTCTCACTCTGTTGCCCAGGCTGGAGTGCAGTGGCATCATCACGGCTCACTGCAGGCTCCATCTTCTTGGCTCAGGCAATCCTTTCTCCTCAGCCTCCCGCATGACTGTAGGCGCGTGTCACCATGCCTGGCTGATTTTTTTATTTTTTGTGGAGACGAGGTCTCGCTGTGTTGCCCAGGCTGGTCTTCAACTCCTGACCTCAAGCTGTCCTCCCTTCTTGGTCTCCCAAAGTGCTGGAATTATAGGCGTGAGCCACCCTGCCCAGCCCGAGATGCAAACTTTTTAATAGAGACATTTACTTGACGACTTAAAAGAAGTTTCCCTTGAGTTAAAAGTAGTTGTTTCTATTCTATCCTGAAGCATCTGGCTGTCCTGGTAGAGACATATGAGCACGACCAGGGGCCTGGAATATCCCAAGAGGGTAAGAATAGCCCACAATAAGCTATGACTCCCGCCGCTCTGGTCACTGCAGTTGTCAGAAATGCTTTGCCTCAGAGGCAAACGGCTTAAAGCCGTCTCAATGTGGAGACAGGAAAGCTCACCTCCTGCTCCTGGGCTCAAATCTTTGCTTTCATATCTCTGACTCTCACCTTTAAGTCTTTTGTAGTTAAAATATATTATTCCTGCAAGAATATTCCACCTCCCTGGATAACACAGGGCTCTGCCACCTCCCGCAGCCTCGAGTCTGGGACATTCCAGAAGCATGGAGAACGTGGACTTGCTGGGGTTTCTGGTCATCACGTTGAACTGCAACGTGACCATCGCAGGTGAGGATCGGGCCAACCTCTAGGCACCTGTTCTGTCTTTGTTTTCGTTGCCATGTTTGATTCAGTCCCTCTCAGAGGCCCAAGGCGTTTCCTCGTGTCCAGTTGGCCTGGCCCACCATGCCAGCTACTTGGGAGGCTGAGGTGGGAGGATTGTTTGAGCTCAGGAGTTTAAAGCTACAGTGAGCTATGATTGGGAGAAAGTCCTGGTCCTGCTAGAGGAGAGGGAGCTGTGGCCGAGGATTCCTCTAATTGCTCCATGGTTCTGCCACCATTTAAAAATCCTGGATATGAGCACTGTTCGCTCCCAGGGTTTCTTCTCATTGATATCCGGGTGCCGAATCTGAAGACTGAAGCGGGCTTGGGGGGGTGTTTGTGGTGTGACCCTTCTGTGGCGACAGCACCAGGAAAGGGGCAGCACAGGCAAAGAGGATGAGGAAGTGACCCCGGATCATGCTTTCTTCTTGTTCATCTTTTCAGGTTTTGACCTTGAAGCTTAATTTGTAAAGATTGGTAGTTATTTGTGCACTTTCAACTAAATCCCAACGCTAATTTAGTTTATTTTTTTAAAGAAAGAAAATGATAAAGATTTCAAGTCAAGTTTTCATGCAGGTATGGTGTTACAGAAAGAGGGGTTGAGGAAAGGACTAACATATGCCTGAGATGTGGCTGACTTTTTTTCCTACTTATTATTTTTGAGTCAGGGTCTCACTCTGTCACTCAGGCAGGAGTGCAGTGGCACTATCACGGCTCACTGCAGCTTCGACCTCCTGGGCTCAGGCAATCCTCTTGCCTCATCCTCCCGAGTAGCTGAGATGACAGGCATGCACCCAGTTAAATTTTTGATTTATTGTAGAAACAGGGTCTCACTATGTGGCCCAGGCTGGTCTCAAACTCCTGGGCTCAAGCATTCCTCTTGCTTTGGCCTCCCAAAGTGCTGGGATGAGGGCGTGAGCTACTGCACCTGGCCTTTTCCTACTTATTACTTTGTAGAACTTAAACACAATCAGCCTGGTGTTAAAAGTTCAAGTGAATAACTTCATCACATAATAATATTGTTCTTTGAGGTAGCTTAACTGCTTTCATTTATAATAGAGCTTTCCTTTTCTGTCAGGTGATCTTTTCTCTATCTCATCACAAAACACAATATTTACAAGTTATTTTGGCTCATTTTAAAGTGTTCCAGAAGAGTTAGCCTATGACATGAAAGTAGGGCTTTGAAGTTATTTTGGTTTTCTAGGTTGGTCTCATTAATTGATGATATACTGAGGAAAGACAAGCCTCATTAATTCATAATAACTGGAATAGGAGAAAAGGAATTCTGAATTATTAAAAAATCTGAACTAATGGAATGTTCTTAAGGAAATTCAATTTCAAGGACCACAGAGCAACATGAAATACAAGGCCTGTGATTAAATAGAGATCTTATGGTCCATTATCATAAGTAAAGAAGACTTGCTGAAATTAACCACTTGAATGGGCTATACACAGGTATAGGGATATGAGGAAATTCTTTGAAAGGCTTATTCTCCTAAGAAGAGTAAGATCTTATTTAAATCATTAATTTTCTCAGCCAAACTCTCTTTCTGAAACTTTCAGTTTGGGAGACGTTACCAAAAGTCTGAACTAGCAGAGTCAGATTAAAACATTTTTTTTGGTATATAGTACTTTTTAAAAACCTGCTCATCTCAGTGGGGCGCAATGGCTCATGCCTGTAATCCCAGCACTCTGGTAGACCAAGATGGAATAATTGCTTGCTTGAAGTCAGGAGTTTGAGACCAGCCTGTGCAACATAGTGAGACGCCCCCCTCTCTTTAAAAAATAATTAGCTGGACATGATGGCACTCCAGCTACTTGGGACGCTGTGGTGTGAGGACTGCTTGAGACCAAGGTTACAGTGAGCTATAGTTGTGGTGCTTCACTCCAGCCTGGGTAATAGAGCAAGGCCATTTTCTAAAAATTAAACAAAAAAAAAATTAAAACCAAACCAAAACAAAAAAACCCTCCCGCTCCTCTGGAAGCATTTTACCAACAAGGAGCTTCAGTACTCAATAAACATTTGTCCCATGAGCTGATGAGCTGATGCTCTCATGACTGAGGACAGCTTCCTGACTTCTCAGCTCTCCAGTCTCAGCCCCGGGAAAGGTGGAAGAACTGTTGCTGGAAGGAAATATATTGATGTGGTGATGATGAGGCGTTCCTGCATCCTCTTTTCCAGGAAAGATCTGGCTTGTCCTTATGATACTACTGAGGATGGCAGTGGTCGTCTTGGCGGGGTACCCCATCTACCAGGATGAGCAGGAAAGGTTTGTCTGCAACACCCTGCAGCCGGGGTGCACCAACGTCTGCTACGACATCTTCTCCCCTGTGTCCCAGCTGCGGTTCTGGTTGATCCAGAGCATGTCGGTTCTCCTCCCGTATGCTGTTTTCAGTGTGTATGTCCTGCACCGAGGAGCTGTACTGGCCTTGCGGAGGACCTGCCACTCAGATAGGGTGCCCAGAGGCCCTGACCCCTCTGGCCTAGCCTCTGGGGAGGAGTGCTGCCCACGGCCCTGCAGGGAGAGGTGCAACCTGATCGTGCCAGACTTCTCATCCGGCTACATCGCCCAGCTCCTCCTGCGGACCCTGGTGGAGGCAGCTTTCGGGGCCTTGCATTACCTTCTCTTTGGATTCTTGGTCCCAAAGAGATTTTCTTGCACCCGTGCTCCCTGTACCAGCGTGGTGGACTGTTACGTGTCTCGGCCCACAGAAAAGTCCATCATGATGCTCTACCTCTGGGTGGTCAGTGGGCTGTCCTTCCTGCTGGGCGTCGCCGACCTGATCTGCAGTGTGTGGTGGCGAGGCACCAGCCGGGGGGTGCAGAGTCCTTCCATCAGGAAGGAGTATGGAGCCGGGGCCTCTCTTCCTGGCCACACTGAGGGATGCCAGGCAGATGAGGAGGGTGGGTGGGAGGAGGACAGGGTGCCCATGCCCCCTGGCGCCTGGACCCGAGGGGAGGGTACCAGCAGCCCCAGGGGTCATAACTCCAGTAACTTGGGACAGATGGAGCTTCCAGATGAAGAGGAGAGTGAGGTGATGTCCTCGGCCAGTGAAAAGCTGGCCCGAGAGTCCAGGGACAGGCCCCACAGAGAGGCCGCCCAGGATCCCAGGAGCAATAGATCTGAGGAGTGGCCCTCAGCCTCCCGGAGCCGGCTGGCCGGGCCCTGTTCACACAGCCAGCTGCTGCCCCCTGGCCAGCCGGCCAGTTCTGGCAGTGTCCCCCACCTGAGAACCAAAAAGTCTGAGTGGGTGTGAAGAGAGAGCCCAAGAGTGCGTGGGGGCCTGGCTGTCCCGTGCAAGTGGAAACGTTGGCACCTAGAGGGTCTCATCATTCAATTAAGTGCCCAAGAACGTCAGCAGGGGCAGAAAGACCAGCTGGCCTGGGGACAAACAGGCTTCACAGGAGACTCTGATAGCTTCTCAACACAGGTAGAAGCTAGATAATGCTTTTTGTTGAAAAAGGCACATGGCATTCAAATGCCCTCAAAAAGCTGACACCTGGGAGAGTAACTTCTTAATGGCTGTCATGAGACTGTTCTGTGTGTGACATTCTCACTGGCTCTGTGACCATATTCTTTGCCATGTGACTAATGTCCAAGTATGTTCTCTTACATTCACTGAGTTCATTTGTGTTTTAGCATTTTCTGGTAATTATGAGGTTTATGTTTGTTTTCCCGCTTGGATGACAAAAACATCTGTTATGCACGTGGCTCGTAGAGACATTAGTTAACTTTTCCAAGGCCCTTAATAAAACTGATACTGTTGCCCTGAGATGTCACACTTCATGCTGCGCTGGGTTGGAGGAGAAATGTCAAATGCATACAATATGGCCAATACACTGTTGGGTTTGGAGGCATCTTGTATTGTGATTGTGTGTGAGTGTAAGGTGAGCAGAATGTGAGATGAGCCCATGGCTTGTTGGGTGGTCTTTTTGTGTTTGCTGAGTGGCTGAACTCACCGTAGGGAGGGAGGACTTTTGTTGTAGATGAGTGGCCATCGATTTGTCACAAGGTCAAATGGGCTTTGTCTGTGTCTTTTAGAGAGTTGTACAATTCAGATTGTCCTGAGAGTCATCATGTTCCAGCAGAGAAGAAGAGGAAAACTTGGGGTGTGGTGGCATGTTCGGTCTGGGTTCACACTTTTTGTGTGTGCACTTGAAACAGACAACTGCCCTGGGTCTTGGGCTGGGCTTCCTATCTCTGCGTCTCTGTGCTTTTTGGCGTCATTCTGGTTTTGATGTAGGTGTTGTCCATGTGATGGTGTGATTCTGTTTTTGAACTTCAGAACTGCCTTATACTGGGCAGATGGGAGGAGAGAGAATAGCAAAAGATCTGCTATGAGACAGGATAAGCCAGCTCACCTCCACCAGGGACCATCTGGGTGAACTGAGTATCCTCTGGTCTCTAAACATGGAATGACTGAGAAAGAGGAACCACCCTTCCCTTCAGTGACCATTAAAATGATGAACCAACACACTCATGAAACAATGGACACTTCTAACTGTTCTAAAGAAGATCTTGACACTGAGATTTCTGCCAGGAGGAAAAATAATAGCCTGCTTGATATATCTACAGGATGTCAGCACCGTTGGGGAAAAAAAAAATCATGTAAAATTGGTTTGGGCAGAATGTTATGCTATTTGAATGAATGTGCATTCTCTCCCTCTCTCTCTCTCTCTCTCCCTTTTGCTCCTGAAGTCACTGAAAGCTGTAAGCTGTGCACCAGACCTGTTTTTTCAATATTTAGATCAATATCTGGCACATAGTGACTGCTCAGTAATGTGGGTTTTGAATTTGATATTCCTGACGTATGCAGGGGCAAATTTCATTGCAGTTCTTTGCAGCATGCGATTCTGGTGAATTTCCCAAGCCTGGGTACAGGTTTAGAGATACAGGATTTTTTCAGGGTTATATTACCGTTTACAAAATAAACACCACAGACAATCACACTGATATGAGCCTTGATCATGCTGGGTGAAGAGACAAAATCAAATGAACAACATTGGTGTGTGGCATGCAGTGTCCAGGTAACAGCTGGGAGAGGATGGTGGCGGGCGGAACTGGGGCTTCCTCTCGACCTCGGTCCCAGAGATGATGGGGCCTTTGCATGACTGTGTTCCATGCATGGCTGGAGTCCATGATTTGGGTTTACAGACAAGTGTAATTTTATTTGGGTGGCACTGGAAAGTTCTGCTTGTGTCCAAAATCCCATCGTGAAGGAATCAGAGCCCTGAGGTATGTTCCACAGAAAACTGCCAGTGCTCCTTGGATCAATGGGTCCAAGAGAGAAGGGGAGAGACAGTGAGCTAAGGTAGGAGATCCGGGCTCTCAGCCCATGACCACTATTACCTGGGGGGTCACTTCACTCCTCTGGGCCTCCGTTTCCCCCCATGTGACGAGGTACCCTGTGTAGATGATTCCGTAGTTCCCTATAGATGTAGGACTCTGTCAGTGAGATGTGCGGCTGTCAGTCATTTAGTATGAATAGGGTTTTTTTTTTTAGGCCCTTCCAACCTGCTAACTGCCTGAGTGCAGCTTTTGATGAGATGAAAGTGGTAAGCATAGGAGAGGCCTGCACGTCCTTAGAAGAGCTGCCATGATGGGGATGTGGGCCAAGGGAATCCTCATGGAAATGTCAGTTAGTGCAGCCACTGTGGAGAACGGAAAGGCAGCTCCTCAAAAAGCAAGAAACAGGGCCAGTCATGGTGGCTCATGCCTATAATCTGAGCACTTTGGGAGGCCGAGACAGGCGGATTGCTTGAGCCCAGGAATTTGAGACCAGCCTGAGGAACATAGTGAGACCTTGTCTCTACAAAAAAAGTAAAAAAAAAAAAAAAAATTAGCCAGCTGTGATGGCACATGCCTGTAGTCTCAGCTACTTGGGATGCTGAGGTGAAAGGATCGCCTGAGCCAGGGGCTAGAGGCTGCCTTGAGCCATGATTGTCCTAATCATGCCACTGCACTCCTGGTTGACAGAGTGAGATCCTAACTCAAAACAAAACAAAAACAAAACTGAGAAATAGAACTACCTTAGGATCTAGCAATCCCACCATTGGGTATATCCAAAAGAAAAGAAATCAGTTTATCAGATATCTGCATTCCCATATCTGCAGCACTATTCACAATAGCGAAGATATGGAGTCAACTCAAGTGTCCACCAACGGATGAACAGATAAAGAAAATGTGGTACATATACACAATGGAATATTATTCAGTCATAAAAAGACGAAAACCTGTCATTTGCAGAAACTTGAATGGAACTGGAGGCCATTATGTTAGGTGATATAAGCCAGGCACAGAAAGACAAATACCACATGTTCTCATTCTCATGTGGGAACTAAAAAAGTGGATCTCGTAAAGATAGAGAGTAGAATAGTGGTTACCAGAGGCTGAGAAGGGGAGGGTGAAATGAAGGGGAGAAAAGAATATAAATATATTTATTGCCATGGAACTGTACATTTAAAAATGGCAAAGATGGTAAATTATATATGTAGAGTTTACCTCAAAATAAATGCAAGCTGTGTTTTGGTTCTGCTGTGGGATGTTTCCTAGAAACAAAACAGATGCCTTTCCTCCACATTTGCAGTGCATATGTGTGTGTGTGTGTGTGTGTGTGTGTGTGTGTGTGTGTGTGTGTATGTGTATGTGAGTTTGTTCCCTCCTGTCGATCCGGGAGCAAATCTCCCGTGGAAAACAGATGGCGACCCCATGGAAAGTGGGGGCAGGTGGTCCCTTGAAGGGGCAGTTGAGGATAGTTCATCAATTTCATACCCTACTGAGTGATGACTGAGAGGTGAGCTCTCAGACATGGGGACATCTGATGTGATCTCACTGTGTACGACCTTCTATTGCCTAGTGCAGAGACTGTGTAAACTAAAGTAATTGTAGCTGCTCTAACAAGTAAACTCCAATTTTAGCCATTAAGCATGGAAGAAGCTTCATGAAATACAAAGATGTTCTTGACTGATGAGCAGCTCTGCTCCAGGTGGTGACTCAGGGATCCCTAAATCAGTCATCTCCAACACCTGCTGTCTGCCATGCCGATTGTTGTGGGAAGCTCTGTGGGCCTGACCTGGAGAGGGCATTGTCACTTCCGACCATGTTCTCTGACAAGAACTTGGTCCTAACTGCAGGGGAGACCACGAAAGATGGCTTAGCAATGTCCCCAGAAAGAAGTTGGGAACACTTGGGTGAACAGCTAGCTAGTGTTTGCCTGAGGTAGCAACTGTTTTCTGGACACCTGCCTCATGAAAGACACTGAATACATTCTAGTGACCAACAAACTGATCTCAGAGGTGGAAAAGCTAAGCAGGTTCATTGGCTCAGGACCTTGGATGCATTGTGGGTGAACAGAAGTGAAAGGTGGTGTCAAGGATGAAGAGAACTAACTGAATGGAACCTAGAACTCAATTCTCTTATACTTTGGAACTTTCCTCTTAATTACAATTAGTTTAAATAAAAGCAGACCTAAGTTGGCATATGTGTAGGTGCGTGTGCATTTTAGTTTAGTCTTTGGCCTCTGCACAGTACAAAAGTCTCATTAGATATCGTGTAACTTTCCAGAGACTTTAATTCAGAACTCTCCTCCCAGGCCAGTCTGCAGGTGGATTCTGAGATGGAATACAAACTCAAATCTGACATGTACAGTTGACTACCTGCTGAGACAAAAATGAAAGAAAGATGGATTACGAGGATCAACGAGATTATGTGTATCAAGCAGTTTGTGCTTGGCCAAGAAAGATATTCTTTATGGAATTAATAAATGAGACATTTTTGGGGTAGGATGTTGCAATCTGCTGTGAGAACCAACTTCAAATTTTCAGAGTGTAATTTTGGTTTCAGGCAAGAAGCGACGAGGAGGGTGGTGCCTTAGAGACAAGGTTAGGGACATCTGGGTTTCTCAGGCACCGACTAGTTGAGGCCCTCCTGCAAGGCACGAACCCTCACATCAGAACTTAAGCATTCCAGTCCAGTGCCTGGATGAGCAGCAGAGCCTGGTAAGTCCACCAGCTGTATTTGGGTTGTGCTGTGGGATGAGCGCTTCCCAGAAACAAGACAGATGCCTTCCCCCCCACATTTGAAATATATAAGGAAGACCAAAAAAAAAAAAAAAAAAAAAACCCTCAGAATTCATTTGTAAAAAACAGTATACTTATTCTTACATGTTTAAACTTCATTTACCGTTAAAGTTTTCTCGTTTGATGCAATACACCTGTTGAGATGCTTTTTCCAGTGCTCAAAACAGTTTTTGAATTC